GATTCACACCAAGAACATGAAGCTTGCTGATGATGTTGATCTGGAGCAGGTGTGTTTCAGAGAATGTTTGAACATTCAGTGCTCAGAGATTTTATTTGTTTAAGCTGGGTCTCCTTAATGCGCATGACTCTTCTGCCATTGCCTGCTTAAGTCTGCTTCCATCAGAATTTTAAGCCAAGTGGATTTTTAAATGGAAAAAAGGAAACATTTTCAGAATGTCTTTTTCTCTTTCATGACATTTATGTTTTTGTTTTATTTAGGGCACCAAAGTAATTGCATTTTCACACAATTTCGTTTTTTTTGTTTTTTTCTCCAATTGTCTTCAGGGGCGAATGAAACCCATGGCCATGTGGGTGCTGATCTGGCCGCCCTTTGCTCCGAGGCTGCTCTGCAAGCCATCCGTAAGAAAATGGACCTCATCGATCTGGAGGATGAGACCATCGACGCAGAGGTTATGAACTCCTTGGCTGTTACAATGGATGACTTCAGGGTGAGGATCTTCTATCTAAGTAACTCTTAAGTGTGAGACTTGCATTCAGAAACAAAAGACATAATTGCTTTGCTCTTTTACCTAACAGTGGGCTCTTAGCCAGAGCAACCCCTCTGCCCTGAGAGAGACCGTAGTGGAGGTGCCCAACATCACCTGGGAGGATATTGGTGGCCTTGACGATGTCAAGAGAGAGCTGCAGGAGCTGGTGCAGGTAATGAGCAGTCTTAATCAGATTTTGTTGACTACAAAATGTTCACAGTTTAATTTTGAAATGCTTTCTACATTTTCTATCCTTTTTAGTACCCAGTGGAACATCCAGACAAATTCCTTAAGTTTGGCATGACCCCATCCAAGGGTGTGCTGTTTTATGGACCACCAGGTTGTGGTAAAACCCTACTGGCCAAGGCCATTGCCAATGATGCCAGGCAACTTCATCTCAATCAAGGCCCAGAACTGCTCACTATGTGGTTTGGAGAATCAGAGGCTAATGTCCGTGAAATCTTTGATAAGGTATGTGATCTTATAATTTCAACAATGTGGTTTCTAACTCAATCCTGTTTATTTGATTTTGAATGTGAAGAAAAACCAGGCTTTTCAGTTGTTTGACATGTAAATAAGGATGCATTTTAAAATGGATTTGGTTCTGTCCTCCAGGCTCGTCAAGCTGCTCCTTGTGTACTCTTCTTTGATGAATTGGACTCCATTGCTAAAGCTCGTGGTGGAAACGTTGGTGATGGTGGTGGAGCAGCTGACAGAGTCATTAACCAGATCCTTACAGAAATGGATGGTATGTCCAGCAAGAAGAACGTCTTCATCATTGGGGCCACCAACAGACCAGACATCATTGATCCTGCCATCCTCAGGCCTGGCCGACTGGACCAGCTTATCTACATCCCACTGCCTGATGAGAAGTCTCGCATTTCCATTCTCAAAGCGAATCTCAGGAAGTCGCCAATCTCAAAGGTGAGGTTGGATGGTATATTTATTTATTTTGTTCTTTGGATTTAATTGGTATTTAAAACGTTGTCTTTGCGTAGGACGTGGACGTGGACTTCTTGGCCAAGATGACCAATGGCTTTTCAGGTGCTGATTTGACCGAGATCTGTCAGAGGGCCTGTAAACTGGCCATCCGTGAGTCCATTGAAAATGAGATCAGACGGGAACGCGAGAGGCAGACCAACCCTTCTGCAATGGTGAGATTTAAGTTTGTCTAATGTAGTGTTTCTCGGCCCATTCAAGTAATACTTAATTTCTATTTTTTTTTTTTTTTTACATCCTAGTTGGGCAATTTTTCAAAATTGGGCAAATTCAAATAGATAATGGCATAATGTTGTGTTGATTAATGTTCCTGTATTTTAAATTGGAATGGCCGTTTTGATTTTCCAACATGTTGGTGGTTTTGATCTTGTATATTCAGGAAGTGGAGGAGGATGACCCTGTGCCTGAGATTAGGAAGGACCATTTTGAGGAGGCCATGCGCTTTGCCCGCCGCTCTGTCAGTGATAACGACATCCGCAAATATGAGATGTTCGCACAGACCCTGCAGCAAAGCAGAGGCTTTGGCAGTTTCAGGTGGGTTCTTAAATTATGGTGTTGGTGTGGCCGCTTTTGTGATATTAAAGTGGTTGTTTGCCTAAAAATGAGAATTGTCATTTACTCAAGTTGTTCCAAACTTGTGTTGTGTTGCAGAAGAATTCAATTCTTACACAAAATTTTTGAAGAATATGGGTAATCAGTTGATAGACCCCAAAGACATAATTATTATTATTATTATTAATTAATTAATTTTATTTTTTTTTAACATGGACATTAAAGGGGTCCATCTTTCATTAAGATTTCAAATGTTTGTTTTATTTTATTTAAGATTCCCATCCAGTAACCAAGGTGGAAGTGGACCAAGTCAGAGCTCCTCTGGTGGTGGCGGAGGCACAGTCTTCAATGAGGACAACGATGATGATCTTTATGGATAAATGTGACCACGTGGCTGACCCTCACAGGCCACTCTTCGTACAGGCCTCTGTGTACAAAAGACGAAAAATAAAAATTCCAAGTTTTTAGGACTGTGCTTTTTGTTTCTGATTTTCCGCTTCTCCTTTCAAGTCCACTGCCCTTGTTTTTTATTCGCCTCGTTCCCCTTCTGTCCACCCCCGTCTGTTAATAGAGAAAAGCATGTAGCTGCTTGTGTTTTGCTCTGGTTTGTGAAAGGATGATTTCTGAGAACTTTGATCTTAACATTCTGTGGGTGGGGGTGAATTTCAGTAAAAAACCATACACAATAGGGATTTCATTAACTTCACAAGCTATACGAACAGCTTTAGTGGTGGGGTTTAATGCTAGGCTGTTGGAAGGATGATAAAAAATAAAATAAAATTTAAAAAAAATTGCTAATGACTTCATTTTTTTTTATGAATGTAGCATATAATGTATTACAAGTTTGAAAAATGTTAAATAAAATTCACGAAATGGACCTGATTTTGTGGTGATTAATTTTTAGAAGTTTGGGATCTGTGCACATGTACAGACAATGTCTGCTGTACTTGCAATGGTTGTATATGCTAAATACTTGGTTTCATTAAAAAAGCCATGTGTATTACACCTTTGGTGGGCTCTACATCAATTCAAAAGAAACAATTATTTAAATGAAGCTCTTTATTTAAATTCGTTTTATTAAACATGTCGCCTTTAGATCTTGCAGGTTTAAAAAAATTCCAGTTTTGTCAATATGGATCACTGTAGGGAAAATGTGGATGTCATGCATCTCTCCAAACATTTTGTCCATCTTTCTGTGGAGCGACCTTCATTTTTTTCAGTTACAACAGACATTTCAATGCAGTAACGTTTTTTTTTTTTTTTTTTTTTTTTTTTTTGATTTGCAATTAAGTATTCGTAGTTACCATTATAGTTGGAACAATAAGCCTTTTGTTCCTGTTAAAGGATTCGATGAGCCTCATGTCGTCTTCCGATAGTTTAAAATCAAACAGCTGTGTGCAAAAGTGAACAATGGTTACATACTGCAGCTATCAAATCTCATTCAAGCGTATGCTCAGAAAATCTGCCACACCGGGTTTGACAGATCTACAGTGGAAAGAAAGAAATATTAAAGACCCCAATAATTTCTTTGAAACAACAGCATTTCAACTCTTATCCCATTAACTCTCTCGTTACAGATCTTGTCCTCCAGGTGTCTCTGTATGCCCTCTCTTCTGTTGACATTCTGAACAACAATGATGATGACTGACCTAGCTTAAACCCTCCAGGCATTATTTTAGTAATTTGGTTACGTGTAGACTCGTAAAATAACCAATGCATTGAAGTTGAGATGCGAGAGCACTTAAAGGTGAATCGGCATGTGCTAAACGTAGAGAATGAATGGGAGAATGAATATTAACGTTTTAAAGCTGTTGAATATCTGTCACAAACATGTCCAAATGGATGCACATTGCACAAAAATAGTTACCATTTAATTATTTTCAAACAGGTTTCCTGAACAATCACCCATCATCCATTGGGTGGACAAAAGCATAGCCCCTCCCCAAACCCATTGGTTGAGTCAAGTCTTGCTGTGATTCGTTGATATGGATGCCAACAAAGAAAGCAATCCTTTTCATGGACTGCTAATATTTTAATTTTTTGTTTGTTTTATCTTCATGTATAACAATATATTTAGTATAACATTACCTTTGCATCAAATGACAAAAGACTTGTTAACGCTGCTGTGTATGAAGGTAAATGAGCAGCTAAACTCGAGAGCACGTAGATGTGAATTTGAGAACTTGTACAAAAAATATTCGTACGTGAACGCAAACATTTACACTCACAGCTCCGATGTGAAAACAAATAAAAATCTGAACTTGCTGAGATTTGCACTCACAGACAACATTATTAGTCCCATTTCATTGGCTAGGCGCCAACCAATAACACATCTCGTTTGAACACCCCGCTCCCCGCTTCCGTCCATAGACTATGACTTCCGTCGTGATTCCGTCGTGAAATAATCACGTTGGTCCACTTTGGAAAACGTGTAGATGTCACGGTTTAACCCCCTCAAACGTGAAACTTACACGTTTGACCTATTCTACACGCAATCGCCTCTGCCAACCCGGTATCACGACAAGACGTGAAATAATCACGTTGGTCCACTTTGGAAAACGTGTAGATGTCACGGTTTAACTAGCCTGGCTGCGCCCGCCTACGCACTTCCGCTCAATTTCATTTTCCTTCAGTACTGAATGAAATGTATGTACGAGAGTCTGGTAGAACCAGGCTACGGTTTAACCCCTTCAAACGTGAAACTTACACGTTTGCGTTAACACATTCCAGTGGAGAGATACCCGGATGTTAACCTATTTTAAAAGTATAACATTACAAATGCAGCGAACACACTAATGTCTCCTAATCTGTAAGCACTAGGTGCTAACGGCACTGAAGTTACCTATAGTATCCAGCTGCAGACCCGCAGCACCACCAGTTTCAGAACCCCAGTTTCAGAACCCCAGCGCCAGAACCGGAAGTGAGGGGCGGCGTTAGATTCTAACCAACACCAGCGCCAGGAACGTAATTGAGGGGCGGAGCTTAGATTTGAAACCTAATAACGCCACCTAACGTAATTTGGAGGGTATTTTACACATGAAACGAAGCTTTTATTGAACAAGAAACGTCCTACTCTCTATGTTATGATGCTATACATTACTGTACAATAAGCATTTTAAAACATTGATTTTGTGTAAAATAATTGTATACAGTTTCAGTTATTCGTTTCATTGTATTACGAGTTACTTCCTGATCATGATGGTGAAAAAAATAATACTTGAAACTTATGGGCATTTTAATGTAGCCTGGTTCAACCAGACTCTATTTTAATGTATAACAGTTTAATAATTTTAGCTAAGCAGTTTATACATACGTGTAGATTTAGGAAGATAAGACCTTTGTTTTTTGGTTTTTATGAAGAGTTAACTTTGTATAATAAAGCTTTGAAAGATATAAAACAAGACAATCATTGGAGGTTTTCAAAATTATACACAATCTGATAAATTAGACCTCTGTGATATTTTATGTTCTATTTATTTATTTCTTTATTGTGTTTACAAAAATCTTAAATTGTTTTGATATTGAAGATTTATTTGTAAGATGATTTTAATTGTTTAATAAAAAATAAATAAAAAAGCATGGGTATTTTTTATAAAATATACTTTATTTCACAAGAACATGAGCAGCATGCATTTTTCGTGTAAAATAATGTCAAAATCTAAAAAAAGAGAAAATTCGGCATTATTTTGTTAAAAATCTATACAAAAGGAAGTCTCATGGCCCTCTATCAGAATCCAGAGTTTTGAGAAGATTAGGGATACTTAATTTTTCGGCCAAAAAAAAAAACGTAAGGGGTAACACTGTCGTTTTTTTTTCGGGTCGAAATTTTGATTTTCGATATCTCAGCTCTGGAAGGGTTTAGAGCCTCCATTGTTGCACTCAGGTCTAAGTCTCATGGCCCTCTATCAGAATCCAGAGTTTTGAGAAGATTGGGGATACTTAATTTTTCGCCCAAAAAAAAAAACGTAAGGGGTAACACTGTCGTTTTTTTTTTCGGGCCGAAATTTTGATTTTCGATATCTCAGCTCTGGAAGGGTCTAGAGCCTCCATTTTGCACTCAGGTCTAAGTCTCATGGCCCTCTATCAGAATCCAGAGTTTTGAGAAGATTGGGGAACTTAATTTTTCGCCCCAAAAAAAAAAACGTAAGGGGTAACACTGTCGTTTTTTTTTTCGGGTCGAAATTTTGATTTTCGATATCTCAGCTCTGGAAGGGTCTAGAGCCTCCATTTTTGCACTCAGGTCTAAGTCTCATGGCCCTCTATCAGAATCCAGAGTTTTGAGAAGATTGGGGAAACTTAATTTTTCGCCCAAAAAAAAAACGTAAGGGGTAACACTGTCGTTTTTTTTTTCGGGTCGAAATTTTGAGTTTCGATATCTCAGCTCTGGAAGGGTCTAGAGCCTCCATTTTTGCACTCAGGTCTAAGTCTCATGGCCCTCTATCAGAATCCAGAGTTTTGAGAAGATTGGGGATACTTAATTTTTCGCCCCCAAAAAAAAAACGTAAGGGGTAACACTGTCGTTTTTTTTTCGGGTCGAAATTTTGAGTTTCGATATCTCAGCTCTGGAAGGGTCTAGAGCCTCCATTTTTGCACTCAGGTCTAAGTCTCATGGCCCTCTATCAGAATCCAGAGTTTTGAGAAGATTGGGGATACTTAATTTTTCGCCCCCAAAAAAAAACGTAAGGGGTAACACTGTCGTTTTTTTTTCGGGTCGAAATTTTGAGTTTCGATATCTCAGCTCTGGAAGGGTCTAGAGCCTCCATTTTTGCACTCAGGTCTAAGTCTCATGGCCCTCTATCAGAATCCAGAGTTTTGAGAAGATTGGGGATACTTAATTTTTCGCCCAAAAAAAAAAAACGTAAGGGGTAACACTGTCGTTTTTTTTTCGGGTCGAAATTTTGAGTTTCGATATCTCAGCTCTGGAAGGGTCTAGAGCCTCCATTTTTGCACTCAGGTCTAAGTCTCATGGCCCTCTATCAGAATCCAGAGTTTTGAGAAGATTGGGGATACTTAATTTTTCGCCCAAAAAAAAACGTAAGGGGTAACACTGTCGTTTTTTTTTTCGGGTCGAAATTTTGAGTTTCGATATCTCAGCTCTGGAAGGGTCTAGAGCCTCCATTTTTGCACTCAGGTCTAAGTCTCATGGCCCTCTATCAGAATCCAGAGTTTTGAGAAGATTGGGATACTTAATTTTTCGCCCAAAAAAAAAAACGTAAGGGGTAACACTGTCGTTTTTTTTTTCGGGTCGAAATTTTGAGTTTCGATATCTCAGCTCTGGAAGGGTCTAGAGCCTCCATTTTTGCACTCAGGTCTAAGTCTCATGGCCCTCTATCAGAATCCAGAGTTTTGAGAAGATTGGGGATACTTAATTTTTCGCCCAAAAAAAAAACGTAAGGGGTAACACTGTCGTTTTTTTTTCGGGTCGAAATTTTGAGTTTCGATATCTCAGCTCTGGAAGGGTCTAGAGCCTCCATTTTTGCACTCAGGTCTAAGTCTCATGGCCCTCTATCAGAATCCAGAGTTTTGAGAAGATTGGGGATACTTAATTTTTCGCCCAAAAAAAAAAACGTAAGGGGTAACACTGTCGTTTTTTTTTCGGGTCGAAATTTTGAGTTTCGATATCTCAGCTCTGGAAGGGTCTAGAGCCTCCATTTTTGCACTCAGGTCTAAGTCTCATGGCCCTCTATCAGAATCCAGAGTTTTGAGAAGATTGGGGATACTTAATTTTTCGCCCAAAAAAAAAAACGTAAGGGGTAACACTGTCGTTTTTTTTTTCGGGTCGAAATTTTGAGT